CAAAATGAAACAGAAAGTCACCAGATCGCTTCCTGTACTCCCCCTGAATACTGGAATGATAACTTTAGAAAGAGCCTTTTGCCAGCCCAACTTCCCTGCCCTTTGCTTCCCCATATGTGAAGCATCAGCTGGTACTTGTCCCATTTTCCTTAGGAGTTCATTCGGAATGTCTTTGTCACAGCACGCCCCTGGTCCAGATCCTGAAGGACTGCGATGGGGTTCTATCTGATTCTTTGCCATCTTTCTCCCATTCCTGCCCCTCCTCCCCCGATATGTGTCCCCTGCCCTACCAGCTTCATTTTCTAAAATAATTGCCTCACTTTTTTACTCTATTTGTAAGTCATCTGGAGCCTTACTCTTCATCCTGGAATCTTAAATGTACCCCCAACCTCATTTATTCTGTATTTATACTGTGCACCATCTCCCCTCGGTGGGCCCAGCTGCTTCCTTGTTCATCATTGCTTAGAACTTCTCTCTTTGTGTCCTTCTCCAGAAGAGCCTCTAGCAGAAGCTACTGCATATCCCTGAAAATTTGGAGACATGCCATCTATGCTGCTCTTCCATTCCTATTTGAAGCCTTTAGCCTTAGGGTGGCAGCTTTGAATGGATGGAGAAACACTACTTGCTGTCAGAGTGTTAGGCTCAGCTCCTCCTCACTAACTTTGTCTCTTCTCCTTTCCTCTTTCTCTTCCACCTCCCTCCTCATCCTATTATCAGGACTCTGTGTGTGCGTGCGTGTGCGCGTGTGTGTAATCAAACCTTAGAGCCTTAATGCATTCTAGACAAGCTCATCCATAAAACATTTTTCTCCTTCTCTGAGCTGGTATTAAAGTTGAAGACATAACTTAAATAAGTGCATATGGAAGCATTGTTAAATGTACTTCAAAGCATTAATGTTTAATTACACTATTTGGTTCTTTTTTTGTAATTTTTTATTGTTGTGGCAAAGGTGATATACAATGGGGTTACAGTTATATAAGTCAGGGGACATTTCTTTTTTGACAGTGTCACCTCTTCCCTCACTTTCTCCCAGTTTTTCCCTCTCATCCCTACATTTTCATGTGTCTAGTGAGTACCGGTGCTGCATTTGTTCACCCTTTGTCCCTCCATTTCTGTGCCCCCCTTCTGAAGACAGAAAAATAACAAGACAAAAAGAGAACAACAACAAACTCCTCTTGACTCCATTTCCTGGAGTTCATTTCAATAAATATTATTTTATAGGACTATATACACATAGGCATTGAACCTTTGTGTTCCTCTCCTAAGAGTATTCTTCTTTGGTCTCACCATGTTTAACTGCCTAGAGTCCTGTATAATTTACCATGTTCCAGGATATATTAAATCTAGCTTCCGCCTACAAGAGAAAACAGGCACCATCTGTCTCTCAAAGCTTGGACTATTTGATTCTTGATTATCTAATTTCATGTCCCTTTTTTGTCTATTTTCTGTATCCCTAACTTTTGTATTTTAAGTGTAGACATAATAAAGTACACTTAAAAAAAAAAACTCAGCACCTCACACTTGCTAGGCAAACACTCTATCACTTGAGCCAGACCGTCAGTCCTTTTTGTTTTTTACCTTTTCAGATAGGATCTTGCTTTTATGCTCAGGCTGGTCTGGACATCAGTCCTCCTTTTTACTTTTCCCACATAGCTGAGATAATAGACATTTGCCACTACACACAGCTTTTGTGGGTTGCAGTGGAGTCTCAGGAACTTTATGCCCTTGCTGGCCTGGATTGTTGATCTTTCCATTTACTTCCTTCTGTGTACTTACAAGTATAGGCATCACCATCCCAGCCAAAATACACTTTCTTGTCCTGTTCAGTCTATAACATACTAAATATTCAGTAGATTCTCACAGTCAAAATATGTGAGTCAAGTCAGCTATACAAAACATCAGTTTCTAAAATGAAAGTAGAGTAATTGGTAAGGTGAATGACAGAGTAAACATTAGCGTGTACCCAGAGAAAAGTGGACAAATGAAGGGGCCATCCCAGCTCAGTACTCTTCTAGGGGTCCACAGACATTTTCTGGATTCATCCTATTTTCACAAGCCTGCTTTTCTCTGGAGTGACCCAGCCCTGCCACTGAGCAGGCTCTCATGTTCATTGACTTCAGCAGCCACGTGGCTGGCATACTTGATGTATGCGTCCACTGATACATGTATACATACAGATAGGTTTATGTTTCACTGCTTATGCTTGTGGGTGGGGGGGGGAGTGGTTTCCAAACATTAAATTCCATGGTGCACACAGTAGCAGAAGATTTGCTTTGTCTGTGGAGCACCGGTCTTGTCTGCTTAGTGTTTGTACAGTTAATTGAGCCATGACAGGCTAAAGTCATAAATAGTCATGAAGTCCATAGTTTGCATACATAAGTCAGTAATTATTCATCCACATTGTAAGAAGCATTCATAAAAATGGTACACTGTATATAACATTAAACTTAATCTTGCTTAAAAAAAAAACTTAGTGAATGAGCATTCATTGTGTATTCCTAGGCCTCCTTTATACCCAGATCCAAGGGAGAAATGATATATCACAGAGACCAGATACTCATGATTCTAAGTCCATCTTAGGAGGCAAATTAACAGTAATAAATCCTGGACAACAAAATTAATCCTCACTGGGTGCTGGTGGATCACGCCTATAATCCTAGCTACTCAGGAGGCTCAGAACTGAGAATTGTGGTTCAAAGCCTATGAGACACTTATCTCCAATTAACTACCAGAAAACTGGAAGTGGCACTGTGGCTCAAAGTGGTAGAGCACTAGTCTTGAGTAAAAAAGCTCAGGGACCTGAGCTCAAGTCCTGTGACCACCCCTACCAACAAAAAAATGCGTAGGTGCTTATATTATAACTCTTACTGTGCCTGGATTTCCTGGTGTTGGTTAAAAAGCAAACTAATCAGCCAACTGCTCACCAGCTCACTCATGCCTATAATCCTAGCTATTCAGGAGGCTGAGATTTGAGGATCGAGGTTGGAAGCAAGCCTGGGCAGAAAAAGTCAGTGAGACTCTTTATCTCCAATTAACCAGCAAAAGAGCTAGTTAAGCAAATAGCGTAAGGCCCTTAGTTCAAGCCCTAGTATTGGCACATGTGAACATCCTCTCTCTCTCTCTCTCTCACACACACACACAAACATACAAACATGCATACATGTACATGACTGCATGTACATGTGCAAATATAGAACAAAGTAAACAAGTAATACAGTTCCTGTTTTTAGGGAGTTTATACTTTACAGTGGCATTTGATACATGACAGTAACCCAGCAAAGCAATTGGGAAACATGAATTTTAGCCTGTAACCCAAAAAGCAAGAGATATGTTTTGCCCAAACCAAGTTATTAAAGTTGCAGTTGTTGTCTGTCAAAGTGATTTGCTAGAATAGAAATGATAGGCTAATGTTTTTCTCCATTCTCAGGGTGAGTGATTCTATTTCAGATCAGCTAGACCTGCTAGAGGAATAGACATTTGCATGGAAGGGGGGCAATAGCCAAACATTAAAATGAAGACTTACACATCTGAAATTCCTCTTACATCTGCTTTGATGAAACTGATGTTGTTTCTGAGGGAATGAACTTTTTTTTTTTTTTTTTTTGTCGGTTGTGTGGCTTGAACTCTGGGCTTGGGCACTGTCCCTCAGCTCTTCAGCCTCAGGCGAGCGCTCTACCACTTGAGCCACAGCGCCACTTCCAGGAATGAATTTTTAAGTGGATTTTTTTTTTTTTTTCTGGTCATGGAGCCTGAACTCTGGCCTGGGGGCTGTCCCTCAGCTCTTCAGCTCAAGGCTAGTGCTCTACCACTGGAGCCACAGTGCCACTTCTGGCTTTTTCTGCTTATATGGTGCTGAGGAATCAAAGCCAGGGCCTCATGCATACAATGCAAGCACTCTACCACTGAGCCACCTTCCCAGCCCTTAAGTGGAATTTTAATCAAGCTGCAGCTAATTTCAAATGTATTCTTTCATTTTGCTGGGCTTTCAGTGTCATCAGTTATTCAGTGTTACTTCCTGGTTTGTCCACCCAAGCAGTTTATGAGAGAAAAAACATTGTTTTTGCAAAGGATGGATGCACTTTGGTTTGATTCAAATCTGGCTCATGCAGTTAAGTCTTAGAGAAAAAGAAAATCTAACCCTTAAGCTGGTAAATAAGTTGCTTAAAGTTGTAAAAAAAAAAAAAAGACTTTTTGGCACTGAAATGAATGAATTTACATTGTGGTGAAATGATCTGTTCACCACACTGTTTGATTAGGCACCAGTTGTGAAACAAATGAAATGTTGGTCCATAATTAGAATAATTGTAATTTGATTTTAATCAGAAGATTGATTGCATGGTAAATGACATAATGTCTGATGAATTTTCTAGTGATTAAGGGTCCAGGATATTCTTAAAACTGAAGACTTCCCATGACAAGTGATAGATTTGGTACTCTTTTAAATGACTATTCTCATGTATGAAAGATTTGGCTATTAAGTCCAAAGATTATATTTTTATTTGTAAAACTAACTATCACTCATTAAAACAATTTCTCATTTGAAAAAGTCAGCTAAAACATTTAGGAAGAGCCTGCTTCCTCAAAATCTAATTGCTTTGTCTACTTGCATCATTTTACTAGATAATTTGCAGATTTGATTTTTTTAAATAGCAGAACTATGTTGTTACTTAGAATTTTAAGTTTGAAGTTCATTGATGGAATTCTTGGAATAATCAGTATACTGTAATATGAAATTAGACTCAACCTCCATGAGTTTTTTCTTAATATTTTCATATAAATCTGTTTGAAATATAATTGTACATTCTTTTTTTATTTACATGTTTTATTTGGAAATGTTTATACCAGAACAGTGAAATTAAACTTTAGAGACAATGGATATCATTAGCTTAGTTACCGTCAGTTTATTATAAAAGGGAGATATGGAAATTATTTACATGATGAAAGATCTCAGAACTTCCATGGAATGGGCAGCTTCACAGGATGCCATTTTAGTGATGTATTCACTCTACATACTTCCCAAGAATGTCACCATCCCTAAATAAGAAATAATCCTTGTCATCTAGAACTACTTTGGTGCCTCCATATTCTGGGAGAAGAACTTTATCACTAACTTTCACACTAACTGGCCGAATCTCTCCACCCTTTCCTTTAGAGCCTGATCCCACAGCCACTACTGTGGCTTGCAATACTTTTCCTTGAGACTTTTCTGGAAGCATAATGCCTCCTTTGGTTACAGTTTTAGCTGCACTCCTTTCGACCAACACTCGGTCAAACAGAGGAATGAACTTCCTAAATGCTTGTCCTGCAATGACTCTTCGAGGTCGCCATTTGGATTCTGCTCTCACGCCAACACTGCAAGGAGAGACCCACCTAATTGTACATTCTTAAAAAATATTTCTTCTATCATTTCCTTGTTCAGATACATTTAGTGACTTTTAACTGCTTTTATGATCAAGTCTAAATTCCATTGCATTCAGAAAAATCTTTGTTAATTCTAAAAGAGGTATTTTCACCCAAAGAACAATAGTTAATGCTCTGGGCCTAAATTTTGGTACCTGATGCTTTTATTCATTGGCTAGAGCTCTACCAACTGAGCTGTAGCTCAAACCCCATATACTTCTGTCTCAAAATTCCACTCAACCATATATCTGCTTGTTAATTCCTTGAAGTCACTTTCTGCTTTGTCCTATTCTCTTCTTTGTTTCACTCCACATAAAATGCTGTACACCCTATGATGAACCCCTCTCTTTTCTTCGTGTTCATTACCCTACCTGTACATATCCTGTGCACCTCTCTGGTGCAACACAGAACTCATATACTGTGACTATCACTGAAGAGTGCCCAAAAATGCAACAGGGGCTTGAATCCGTAATCCTAGCTTCTTAGGAGTCTGAGATCTGGTGATGGTTCTAAATCAGTGAGGACAGAAACATCACTTAAGAGTTCATCTCATTAACCATCAAAAAGCTGGGTTGGAGGCATGGTTCAAGTGGTAAAGCATCAGCTATAATTAAAAAAGCCATGGTAGCATGTGTAGATCTTGGATTCAAGCTGTGTAATGATATACAGACACACACACGTGCAATGCACAGGCACACATGACATGGTAGTGAATCTATCATTTAATCTTTGTTTTATTTGTCAGGTCTGAGTGTGACCTTCCATGTGACATCATTACCTACCTTTCAGTGAATCCAAATCAGAAATAGACATTTAATCTCTAACTTTCCAAGCCAACGTACCAACTATGTTAGCTAAGTTGACTTTGTTCCTTGCATTCAGCAAGAGAATAATTCAGGAAAGACTTGAACATAAGCAAAGTTGATAGGAAAGGGTTTGTTTGTTTTTTAAGAAATAGGGCAGAGAAAGAGGACACATGGCATAGACATGCCTTGGAAAGGGCTTGAGCTCATTTTTGGTCATCTTTAGGATGGCAGAGATTAGTTTGGGGAATAAAGAGGGAGAAATGGAGTTCTGGAATATGGATTTCCGATTGGTGGGTCTCCTTTCTGTTTCCTATAAGATCATGGTTTCAAAGATTTAGTGCCTAGTGTATATTTCCCTATTCTTTCGTCATTCCTAATTCCTCGTTCTTTTGTAGCCCCCTGCCCTCATTTGTCAGCCAGGTTTTGGGATATCAGCTCATCTGGACATCTGTAAATTGTAGAGGCTAAGATTTCCCAGATGGTCTGCTTGTCTATGATTTCAGTGATTATTGACAACTATTGTCCAGTTGGATACAAGATGTGACGTTTCTCTTTGTGCCTTCTTTTTTGGTAGTCCATCTCTGGCCAGGACACATGTGTGAGACCTGGGGTCCTCTCCTCTCTACCTCTGTTCAGTAGCAGTGATGAAAGTGTTATAGTTCCTGAAGGAATAAAACTCTCCACAATAAAAACAGATGGTGGTGTTAAATATGAATAGGAAACTATTTCTTGTGTGATGGTGGGGTAGGGGGCAAGGAGACAGGAAAGCAGTCTTTCCGTGTTTCAAATTTGGTTGCCAAGAAAGCTGTTGTTTGATCCACTCTGCACAAAGGAGAAACTGAAGTCACCAACAACAGACCACACATGGTACCCAGCTGAATTTGTTCCTGAGCCATGACCAAGCATCCCCTGACTGAGATGTCGGGTGTCACACTTCCAAATGGGGAATATGGCTTCTGTCTCCTGGAAAGCCATCAAAACTAAAATTCCCAGAGAACATGGTCTTCTTCCGTTGCTGTCACCAAGTGAAATCTCTGAGTTCTGTTGAGCCCTGAAGCAGAAAGCCAGCTTACTGTGCAGAAATACTGCCTGCCACCTTTGGAATTTGGATCTTCTCAGTTTCTAAGCAAAGAGGGGGGTTCTTTAAGAAGCCTTGCCTTGACTGGATGGTGACTAACATCTGTTATCCTAGCTACTCAGAAGGCTGAGATCCTGGTTCTAAGCCATCCAGATTAACCAGAAAAAATACTGGACTGGAGGCATGGCTCAAGTGGCAAAGCACCAGCCTTGAGCTGTAAAAGCTTATTGAGAATTTGAGACCATTAGTTCAAGCCTTCCTCAGTACTGGCAAAATAACAAAAATAAGCCTCATCTTACTCATGTCCTTTAGTGTACCTACAGCTGTCCCAAATTATTCTTAGTAAAATATATGGCCGAACGAAATCTCTCATCTTTTTTTTTTTTTTTTTGTTGGTTGTGGGTCTTGAACTCTGGGCCTGGATGCTATCCCTGCGCTCTCTTCAACTCAAGGCGAGCACCCTGCCGCTTGAGCCACAGCACCACTTCCGGTTTTCTAGTGGTTTATTGGAGATAAAAGTCTCACGGACTTTCCTGCTTGGGCTGGCTTTGAACCGCGATCCTCAGATCTCAGCCTCCTGAGTAGCTTGGATTACAGGCATGAGCCATCGGCGCCCAGCTTAAATCTCTTGTCTTTGATGGGGGTCAGTGGAGCCTTTGGTTTCCTCTAAAGGATTCAGGGATCATTGAATGCTACATGGAATTTGGCCAATTGAAGAGAAGATTATAAGAAGTTGTTTTTTGCTCCTAGCAAAGAGATCTAATTTTAACTCTTTTTGGTGCCATTAATACGCAATAGCAGCTTTTGCATGCTAAACCCATGGGGTTCAATGATTAGCATGATATATTCAGACCAGACCTCAGAGAGCTTATTGTTTTGGTGGAAAGAAAGAAGCTGGTAATGGAGACTCCTTGTATAGGTGGGTGGTAAAAGCTATGAGAGGAAGGAACAGAGAGCTAACTGCCAGAAGGGACCACTGATTTAGGACATCAAGGATTTAATGGACTGTCAGCCTTGTTTTGGCCTTGAAGATGAGCTTGACCTTTGAAGTGAACTTCTTGAGATGAGAATTAGCTCTCCTGGGAAACTTTTTAATGCAGCTCCTTGCTATGTGTAATGTAACCAGGAATATATTCTTGGTCTTTGCCCCAGTTTCATAGCCCAAGGTACTTAAAATCCTTGGAGATTTTAGATAGGAATATCTTTAACAAAAGGTGCTCACACTGAGCTCTCTTCAACTTTGATGAGTTTGTACTAATGGAAGTGACTCATATTGCGCCCCTAGATAGCTTCACAGAGGGGGTTTGTCACCAGAAAAATCAGTTGTGACATTCAAAGGTTGGAAACTTGCAGTCATTAGTGGCCTCTGATTTAATGAATTGAGCCTGTAAAATGACATGTTTGTAAAAATCCTTGGAACAATGACATTCAGGTGGTTTGTAAGTTTGTGATCATGTGCAGTCTTATTGGAGTGACAGGAAAGCTATTTTACCACTTCCACTGTTCCTGTCCCATCCCCAGTACTTTGCCTTATGTGTTTCTTCCATTTGGCTGGTTGTAAGTTGCATCCTTTTTTTTTGATCTGTCATGATGCCTGAACTCTGTGCCTGGGTACTATCCTCAGCTCTTCAGCTTAAAGCTAGCGCGCTACCATTCAAGCCACAGCACCACTTCTGGCTTTTTCTGCTTATGTGGTACTGAGGAATCAAACCCAGGGCCTAATGCATGCAAGGCAAGTACTCTACCACTGAGCCACCTTCCCAGCCCTGAGTTGCATCCTTTTATAACAAACAGATACCAGTCAAATACCAGTGGTTTTGTTATTTTTGTTGTTTTGTCAGTCAGGGGGCTTGAACTCAGGGCCTGGTTGCTGTCCCTGAACTTGTTTTTTTTTTTTTTTTTTGCTCAAGGCTAGTGCTCTACCACTTTGAGCCATAGCTCCACTTCCTGTTTTTTGATGGTTAACTGGGGATAAGAGTCTCACAGACTAGGCTGGCTTTGATCTGTGATCCTCAGATCTCAGCCTCCTGCGCAGTTAGGATTACAGACATGAGCCACCTATGCCCGGCACAGACACCGGAGGTGTTTGAAGTGGTGCCAGCCACAAACAGAAAATGACCTGTTTCCTCCTGGGCTCTGAGAGTCACTCTAGTGAATAATCAAACTTGAGGAGGAGATTGTGGGAACTCCCACATTTGCAGTCGGAGTCAGACAGAAGTCAGATAGCTTAGATACTGAGATTGGCTGCACCTGCCAAGTGAAGTTTCAGGCAAACTGTGGGGTTTGAAGTGGACTCTAGGTGGTCAGCACAGTCTTTCTGTAGGAAAGCCATTTGGTGTTCACTGCATACCAAATACGTTTCTACTGCAGCTAACAACAGTGGATACCAGTGATTTTGACCACCAATCACCATTAGCCAAGTCAGAAATGGGAAGCACTGATTTAACCCCAAGGTGAAAGTGAACATTTTACCCAAACATTTAGTGACACACTAGCTTGCTCTTTCAAAACAGACTTGTCTTTTTCTTAATGCTTTTCATCTTACCCTTTCTTCTTGGGAAAATAGAAGCTTCTAGGAAAATCAGCAGCAGTGGATGGCTGGAATGTTTTCAAAAGCTCTCTCTGGGTTAAGCTGGTTGGTGGCTGTACTACACCACCACTGTGACCAGAGTGTGGGGTTGTTCTCTCTCTCACTGTCTCTCCCCCCTCCCTCCCCGTCTTCCCCTCTTCCCTTCTCCCCCTCCCTCTCTCCCATCTTCCCTTGCTTTCTCCCTCATCTCTTCCCTCTTTCCCTCCCTCCCTCTCCCTCTCTGTCCTTTCTTTCCAAGCCTCCAGTGGACAGGCCATAGTGGTTTATTACCATCTAGCCGTGCAAGGCAGATTGAGGGGTATTTGGAACTCAGGTTGCTATTTAATCACAGTGAGAGATTACTGATTCTGTATCTGGGTCCCAGTTTTACCTGGATCCCTGGGCCTCTAGACCTATTTGAAAAATTTCTTTTGACTTTGTAGTAGGATTTCAATATTATGGGGTGTCAATGACCTTGCCACACTTGCTGTTTTGTTTCCTTGGAACCAAAGTTGTGTAAATAAAGCTCATTTCCTGATTTGTTTTTGCTTCAATCTTAGAAAATGTCCCTAGACCAAAAACATCCTTTCCTGCAATCATTTCAACAGCAAGAGAATTGGCTTTCTCTTGTGAGTTCCCCTTTCCACTTGCCACTGTAATGACTTCCACGTGTTTCCACAATATTTATTTTACCATTAATGCCAGTTCTTAGGCCAGTAGAATCATATTTAAAGCTGAGAAGATGGAGGCCTGGATCAAAGCCCATGCAGATAGAGGAGGAGGCAGGCTTGGGACTCTGCCACTAACGGAGCCAGCCACTACTGGGAGGAGTGGAGAAGAGAAGCAAGACTGAACTCAGTCTAACAGTGGGCCCCCCTCGGGGCTACGAAACAAAGGATAGAATACTATATAAATAAAATCTGAGTGGGTTGCATTTACCTGAAACAGCCCTAGAACATATACAGGCAGCAGATCGGCCCCTGTCCACTCAGAAATGGCTATCAGCACAGCTTCTGCTGACCAGGGAGCCAAGAACACTATAATGGTGAGCACAGTGGATACAGAGCCAGACGGTTTCCACATCTGGATTCTTAACCCATACGGCACTGACCAAAACTCTATCAGAATCCATGGCATAGGCCAGGTGATAAGACTGAGGTGTGGACATCACCTAACTTAGGGGGTGGAGTAATGTCCCAAGTGAGCCTATTCAAGCTCTTCTTGTGAAATGATTATGTCTTCCAGCCTTGGTAGGGGGGGTGGGTGATGATCAAATCTTAGCAATCCTGGGAAGGAATTTCTAAGAGCCTCTTTTAAGGAAAAAGCCAGAGAAGCTGGACTATTTCTCATCACTTTCTTGGTTTTTTTTTTTTTTTTGGTCCAGTCATGGGGCCTGAACTCTGGGCCTGGGCGCTGTCCCTCAGCTCTTCAGCTCAAGGCTAGCGCTCTACCACTTGAGCCACAGCGCCACTTCCGGCTTTTTTTTTCTTTTTGCTTATGTGGTGCTGGGGAATCGAACCGAGGGCCTCAGGCATGCAAGGCAAGCGCTCTACCACTGAACCACCTTCCCAGCCCCGTTTTTTTTTTTTTTTGGTCGGTTGCAGGGCTTGAACTCTGGGCCTGGGTGCTGTCCTTCAGCTCTTCAGCTCAAGGTTAGGGCTCTACCACTTGAGCCACAGCGCCACTTCTGGTTTTCTGAGTGGTTTATTGGAGATAAAAGTCTCACGAACTTTTCCTGCCCGGGCTGGCTTTGAACCGTGATCTCAGATCTCAGCCTCCTGAGTAGCTAGGATTACAGGCATGAGCCACCAGGGCCCGGCTCTCATCACTTTCTTTTGGCAGATCTCCTAATGCCAAACCTGGAGGTAATGTGTCTTAGAAAGAGACATGCTGTTGATTCTTTCCTGTGGATCAGTGCTAGTTACTCTCCTTGGCTTGAACATCTCCTCACAGTTCCTCCCTTTCCCCTCCACAGAGAGGCAGAACAGCTGTTTCACTATTACTAAGTTTCAGTTATATGGCTTGCTACCTTTATGCTTTAGGTGAGTGCTTAGACCAGACATAGCCAGAAAGCAAGAAAATAATTTAAAAAAGTCCTGTAAAAAAACATTTGTAGTTAGATGATATGGCATTAATTTATCAGAACTGCATTTTAATAGGTATACTAGGAATAAAGGCCACGTAAAATGATATATACGGATAAAATTGGTTTATTCATCTTGTTATTAAACCAGTGAGTCGGTATTTCTCTGTACAGAGATGTTTAAGTATTCTTAGATGAATCCTTGCTCTGGCTATCTATCATGTCAATCTTAATTACTTAATAGGCAGGCAGAATTCAAGAAGCCCTTGCTAATTCTGTTTTGCTAGATGAATACTGAGCAATGAGCCAGGCAAGCAATGTGGACCTCATTTTTAAATCGTCTCATTTTTGTCTGCAAGCTGAATAATAGATTTGACAAAAGGAGAGAGACATCACATTCTATATAAAACTCCTTTTTAATATAGCTTTTGGAAAGGCCGTGCAGCAGATGGCTCTTAGTCAGAGCTGGTGTGAATTCTGGGTTTGCTTATGAGTTTGAACAAGTTTTAGAGTTTCTCTGATCCTCAGCTTTTCCTACCCTCAGAGTTGAGATCACATAAGGCCAATTTACCTAGCACACAGCAAATGTTCACCTGCGCTTTTCTATCTCCCATCATCCTTTTCACTCCCCAGATGATGGTTGAGACTCTGTTGTGTGTCCAGGCCTGTCCTGCACATTCAAAACCTCCTAGGAGCATTTAACCATATATTTGTAATGTAATTTAATAGCATGTAATATCACTGCTCCCTAAATGCTAATGGAGCATGAAAGTTGGAGTGACTAGGGGGAACAAGTTGGGTAGCAGTGTTCATTTAAACATCTGTATTTCATGGTCATGTAATACTTAGTGAACATTAGACCTTTATATTTCATGGTCAAAAATTAGCTCAAGCTAAATAAATACTAGGCTGATCTGCAATGCATGGCAACTTGATTTTTGTCATTGTACGAGGTGTGCTGTAGCAGATATGGCATTCTTTACAGTGATTACTATCAGAAATGACTGGTTTTATGAGACTGAGTCTTTAGAAAGACATACGAGATTGTCAATTTTATCATAGCTCATAGAACTGTGGAATTATATTATTTATGGAGGCGCAGGCCCTTCAGGAGACAAAAAAAGGTGCTTGCCTTCTTAGAATTGGTGGTCTTGGAGGAAAATAGAGTGGACATTTATCTAATTAAACACGGGAGAGAGCACTCTTCTTGTTTGGATGATGACTTGCTTTTCCGTCTCAGCATTTTTCCAATTGCATTATCAGGCTAACCTGTGCACAGAATAATTGTGAAATCATAATTCAGTAAGATAATAAGGTCATTTAGGAATGCTGTGGCCTTTATCCAGTGGTCCATCACTAATTCAGAAATGACTCAAAATCATTACAATGCAGCCAGTCATGCTGAAATATGAGAACTGACAGCAGTTTTGCATTTAGACTCGTGAGATGTCATGTTTAGTGGATAAGTTGACAAGTATGAATTTTTCTTCCTTCTTCCTGAAGGGTGAAGGCTTAGTCTCTGCTTCTGATCTCTTTTCCTGCTGTGGAGTGATGAAAATACTCAGAGTTCTGTCCCAGCCACTTTCTCTGGTTCACCCTTCCTGGTTCACCAGCCTTGCTACCAATTCTACTCACAAATCTTTCTGGGAGCCAGGCCCCCCCCCCCATATTCCTGCTTCCTAAGTTGGTAATGAAAAACAAATTGGTGTTATTATCAGAGTCTTCAGAAGGTTCCTGAGCTGACTGTGCATCATTCAACAATGACCTACTTATTATGCATGGTACAGACAGGAACAAAATCAGACATGGGACCACCTTAGGTGGCTCTGGGCAGGTTGAAGATTCAATACCACTTCAGACTGTTCTGTTCTTTTACTATTTATTTATAACATCTGTAAGAGAAGAAATCAAGAACACTATGCAGAAAGGGAAGCAAAGGAGCTTGCTAGTTTACTCTTATGCAAGTTCCAGAGCTCTCAATTGAGCAGAAGGAAGTTAACAGCCAGATTCCTTACATTTCCTTCCAGTTACTTACACACTCTGTAATCCAGCCTGGGAAGATATATGGGTATAGGTCCCTGGAACACAGATAAATAAGATCCTGCCTGATCCTTAAGGGAACTTGAAGCAGTCGCTTAGCATACACCAGAAAACAGTGTCAGACGTTTATCCCTAAATGTGTCCCAGGGGCATAGACCAAAGAGCCTTCTGACAGTCTGAGCATCTAGTAGAGGTCATGAAGGTCATTTTATAGGACTGTAGGGAGGAGCAGAAGCTGAAGTGGGATGTGCCTACTTTACATTCTTGGTTTTGAATGTTCCATCTTGGTGGGATTTTGATTTTACATAACCTAAATGCCCCAAACAAGGTAGAATCAATGAGTGTTCCATTGCAGCAGATCCTACCATAGCTGATTTAAGAAGTGACATCTCAGAACTTTGCATTGACCTACTTGGATTACAGATTTATGACGTTGGATTGGGGGTATCTGCAGGGAACCAGCACTTGCCTTTGCATGGTTGAGACCCTGGGATTGGACCCCAGCACTGCAAGTGATCTTTCTTTTTGGGGGGTACCTATCAGAATAAGACACAGTCATACAGATGGAAATCCATCCTCATATTTCCAAACTGTGTGACTATCTTGGTTCTTTCTACTACAGAGTGTCCTGTTTTGTCAACCTCTGTCATCTCTACCCGACTGGAATAAAGTTTAGAGTATCTGGATGTGTCCACTTTTCACAGTAAAAGCCCTTGGTCCTGTGATTTCCCACCAGAAAGCTGATTGTTCTTTATCTCTGTCACTTGGGATGGTTTTCTTCTATGTCCCTTTACTGGGAAGCTTCTTAAAGGTTGTAGAATGCTGGAATTTTCAGTAGTGTGCTTGTTATCTCCATATCTTCCAGAAGACATTTTTTTTAAAGGTTATCTGGGAACGTGGCTTTTTGGGGTAGCTGGAGCAAGTTTGGTAACGCCAGAGAGTACTGCACAGCCCCAGCCGTCAGGCTCAGCAGCTGGTCCTCAGAATTGCTGTGACTGCCTTTGACCTTTTTGTCCTGCCTAATATGGATGATTTGTTCTATTTTGAGACCGCGTCGCCATTTAGTATTTTCACATTTCATTCTTCCAGCTTGGTACTGTTGTGTTCTGCTGAAGAGGGGAAAAAAGTTGCTAAAATTGCTTCTGAGCGATTTATTCTAGATATAACACTGAGCTTATATGATGCTGTTTCTGTTACTTTGCAGAAATGGCTTCATCTTGAAATTACAAGTAGGCATTATGAGAGCTTTCATTGGGATCCACATGCTTATCTTCTCAGAAAAATTTTCCTCTGGTTTATATACATTTAAATAGGAAGGAAGAATAAAACTGGTTAATAAACAGTAAAAAATGTTTGGCCTAATTCAATGAAATGTATTAGTAATGTGTGTGTATTGGGGGGTGGAAGTTGATTTTTTTTTTTTTTTTTGGGTCCTGTCGTGGGGCCTGAACTCTGGGCCTGGGCGCTGTCCATCAGCTCTTCAGCTCAAGGCTAGTACTCTACCACTTGAGCCACAGTGCCACTTCTGGCTTTTTTCTTTTTGCTTATGTGGTGCTGAGGAATCGAACCCAGGGCCTCATGCATGCAAGGCAAGCGCTCTACCACTGAGCCTCCTTCCCAGCCCCTTGATTTTATTTATTTATTTTTTTAAATGGTAACTCCTAAGTGTGGGATGCCTCGGATACATTGTTTATAAGAGAAAGAATTCGTGCCACACTCTTAGGGAAATAAATTGATATTATCAGAGGCTTTAGAAGTTTCCTGCTCTGACTAAATGCTCTCATTTTGAAAATCTGTACAACAGAAATCTTGTGAACAGTAGAGATATTTTTAGTGGTATTAAAAATAATAATAATAAAAATAATAAAAAGAAAAATCTAGGATTCAGTAGGGGAATGCTTTTATAACCTTGATGTTTCCATTGTGTGAATTAGGTTTCTATCAAAAATGATGTTTATCA